GTGGTTGATAACCAAGACCCATCGATGAACTTTCAACATTATAGCCTTTTTCTTTCAACATTTTCTGCGTAGGTGTTAATCCATGAGTCTTCTCGCCAGTCACCTCAGGAGGGAGTTTTCCCAATGCATGCTTTTTATTTGGGTTATAACCGGCCTTAGCAAAAAATCTATACGCGTTTGGATCAAAACCTTCTTGAGTCCGATTAGTTGGTAGTGAGTAATGCTCTACTGCCGGTTCATTTTTGGGACGAACAAATCCTTACAAACTTACTTTCTCACTCTTAACAGACTCTATTTTGGTGAGCGGAACATTTAATGTGTCATTCCTGATAAAAGAAGTTTAATCTTCTTCTCTTTTTGATCTTGAAATATACCACAAAATGGATATTTTGAAATCTTGACTTTCTTCTTTTACTGATTCTTTTCTTTTTGCTTCTTTCTGAAGGTAAAATTTCGTATCGGCAAAGTGAGTCTCGGCCTCAGTGAATGGTTTATTATTGGCAACAACCTTCTTAACTATACCATCTTGATAATATTTGAAACATTGATGCAGAGTAGACGGTATAATTTCATTCTCGTGAATCCAGGGTCGTCCCAAGAGCATATTATAAGAGGTTTTGGCTTCAATGATATGAAATAACGCACTTGAAGATAACTCACCAATGAGCAATTCAAACCTTATGAGACCAATTGCTCTTTGCTCCCCTTGGTTAAATCCTTGGATCATGAGGCGGCTCTGGGAGAGTTCATCGCTTGAGATTCCTAGTTCTTTCATAGCACGTACGGACATAATATTGACAGCAGATCCCCTATCAATGAGTATCCGATTCATCTTCTGTTTTCGGACATACGCACTAATAAACAAATGTCGATTGTGAGTTTTGAACTCAATAGTTAAATCGTCATCATAAAAAATGATAGTCGTTGCACAATCTACTGGTGGTTTATCATCGATTTTGAGTTTTTCCTCAAATTTAGTGCCAATTTGTGTGATTTGAGGATTTTCAGCCTTGACGACATTACAAGAAGTGGAATTATCAGCATCGTCACTTAAATACCCCTTGGGTATAAATTTCCTCAGTGTCACGGGCTATCGAATCTCTTGAAGGAGCTGAAAATCTAAAAGAGCACTCCTTTTTGCTTTTTTGTTACATTTCGTTATTTCATTGTCACTTTAGGCTTTGTCGAACGGATGCTTTTCAAAAAGATGCATTTCTTTATTTTTGGCTTGCAAGTTCTCTTTCGAGTAACTAAAGTCCATTCTTCGAGAAACTGGGGGAGATTTTGCATATACAACTAGGGCAATGGAGGCAAGCCCAAGAAATCCTCTACAGTGTAAATGAGAGTTGTGGCTTGGAACTGTCGAGGTGCTGGGAGCCCCTTGACAGTTCCCCAACTCAGGGAGGTATTACGCCTCCACTCTCCAGAGGTAGTGTTTTTATCAGAAACGAAAAATAAAAAAAAAGTTATTGATGGTATCATGAAATAGATTCGTTTTGATTATAATGTAGTAGTAGAACCAGTAGGAATAGCTATGATGTGAAAAAAGGAAGTAAAAGTACTACAGCTCCATACTTCAGAATGCTCAATCGAGCTGAGGGTATATGATGAGGAAGTAAAAGAAGAATGGTGGTGCATTGTAATTTATGCAAGTACGGATGATGCAGCCAGAAGAGTGCAATGGGAAGGGCTGGAGGAAAGAATGAAGTCGTGGGGAGATAAATGGATTTTGTTGGGAGACTTCAATGATATTCTATCAAATGAAGAAAAATGGGGGGGGGGTAGGAAAAGAAGTGAGGGTAGCTTTAGATGCTTCAGAAACTTTATATAGAAAGCTAGCCTGGTAGACATACATTTCGAAGGCAACCCATGGACATGGAGTAACCAATGGGAGAATGGGGGGGAGAGATTAAACAAAGGTTGGATAGATGCCTGAGTAGCACAGAGTGGTTCCAAATTTTTGGGGATGCAACCTGCAAACATGTGGAAAATGAGGCTTCAGACCACTCAATGCTGGTGTTGTCTACTATACCAGCTCAAAAGAAAATGAAAAAAAGGTTTGTCTTCGACCAATTCTGGGCTCAGAGCCAAGAAGCAGAAGGGGTAGTGAGACAGGCCTGGGCAAGACCACAGGTGGGCTCAAAAATGTTCAAGATTATTAGGAAAATTAGAGAGTGCTGGATAGCTCTTCTAAGTTGGAATAGACTGAATAAAAAAAATGCAGCTACACAGATTAATGAGATTAAAAGGAAGATACAAGAGCTCAAAGAATCTGCAGTTCAAGGGAAAAGTAGGGAAATGGCTGAATTGAAACTAAAGTTGAGTAGTGCCTATAAAGCTGAGGAAATCTTCTGGCCACAAAAGGCAAGGAGCAAATGGCTAAAGGAAGGGGACAAGAATACAACCTATTTTCATGCTTGTGTGAAGACAAGAAGGAAATGAAATCAGATAACAAAGTTGCAGAAAGGAAATGGAGAATGGTGTTCAGATAATCAACAAATCATCTAGGAGATTTGCAGGTACTATGAAGACCTGTACACCACATCTCAGCCACGAGACATGGAAGAAGTGTTGGAAGGGGTGCCTGTATCAATTACTAGCAGACTAAATCATACTCTGATACAACCTATGGAGGAAGCTGAGGTTAGAGTAGCCGTGTTCTCCATGCACCCAAATAAAGCACCTGGACCTGATGGTATGACACCTTTATTTTTTCAAAGATATTGGAATGATATTAAAACTGATGTGGTGTCTGCTATTCAAAGTTTTCTGAGCAATGGCCACCTTTTAAAGAGCATAAATGAGACTAGCATAACCCTCATTCCTAAGGTTGAAAACCATATAGCTCTGGCAAACTATAGGCCTATCAGTCTTTGTAATGTGCTTTATAGAATTTTAGCAAAAATTTTGGCCAACAGATTGAAAAAAGTTATCACTTTGTGCATTAGCTCTTCTCAATCTGCCTTCGTTCCTGGAAGACAGATTGTAGACAACATCATTTTGGCCCATGAAATCATGCATTTTTTAAAAAGCAAAAGAAAGGGTAATACTGCTTTTATGACCTTAAAGCTTGACATGGCAAAGGCTTATGACCGAGTGGAATGGAAATTTGTGGGCAGAATGATGTTAAAAATGGGGTTCTGTCCTATTTTTGTAAGATGGATTATGAGTTGTATGTCCTCCATGTCCTATTCTTTCAACTTTAATGGGGAAAGGGTGGGGTATGTGAAACCTAGTAGGGATATTAGACAGGGGGATCCCTTATCCCTCTATCTTTTCTTGTTCTGCTCGGAAGGGTTGTCTAATCTCATGGCAAGGGCAATTGAAGATAGGCAGATTACAGGCCTCAAACTGAGTAGAAATGGACCAGTGCTATCTCATTTATTCTTTGCAGATGACTCTTTATTTTGTTGTAAAGCGCACCTACAAGAAGCTAGAGCCATGCAAAGGATACTTGCAAAATATGAACTAGCCTCAGGACAGTGCATTAACTATGACAAATCTGCTGCTTTCTTTAGCAAAAATTGTAGCAGACAACATAGGAGGCAGACATGTGAAAAGATGAACAACATCAAGGAGGCAAACAATGGCAAATACTTGGGACTTCCCTTGGTGATAACAGCATCAAAAAAGCAAGTTTTCGCCTACATTGTTGATAAAGCAAAATCCAAAATGCAGGGATGGAAGCACAACTTACTCAGCTATGCAGGAAAAGAGGTACTTCTTAAGTCAGTCATAATGGCTTTACCAAATTACACAATGTCATGCTGTAGGTTGCCTAAAGGACTTTGTAATGAAATATGTAGTCAACTGGCAAAATTTTGGAGAGGCCAAAATAAAGAGAATAGGAAGATGCAATGGGTAAGTTGGAAGAAAATTACACAGGTGAAGGGAAATGGAGGTCTGGGCTTTAGAGATCTAGAGCACTTTAATAGTGCTTTGTTAGCAAAGCAACTCTGGAGGATATTGATGCAACCAGACCTATTAATGAGCAGAGTGCTAGGAGCAATGTACAAAATAGCGCAAACAGGCTGGGATGGAGAAGCTCCAAAGAACGCATCATGGGTGTGGAAAAGTATATACAACTCTGGACTGGTGCTAAAAAAAGGAATGTGGAAGAGAGTGGGAGATGGGACCACTATCAACATATGGAGGGACAAATGGATCATGGTATTACCAACCGGGAGAATAGCAACTCAGAAACCTCCAGCTTGTAACTTGCAAACTGTGGCAGACTTGTTGATAGAGAGGGAATGGAATACGAAGCTGATTGAGGAGACGTTCTCAGAGCAGGAAGCTTCACAAATTTTACAGGTGCCATTAAGTTTGTTTCCCAAAAAGGATGCGGTCTATTGGAAATACTCAAAATCAAGAAATTACACTGTGAAGTCGGGTTATGCAGTAGAAAAGGAAGAGGTCAACCAAAGAAACAAGGAAAATCATGGAGAGGAAGGAACCAGCTACGCACACCATAAAGGAAAAGTGTGGAAGAGCTTGTGGGGATTAAGGATGAAGCCAAAGATAAAACATTTCATATGGAGATGCCTACACGACAGCATTCCTGTAAATGAGTTGATACACAAAAGAACAGGAAAAGGCTCTCCATTATGCAAATGTTGTGGGGAGGGGGAGGAGACAGTGGAACATATGATTTTCTTTTGCAATAATGCTGAACCTATATGGAAGCTGGCCCTAATACAATGGGACGGATTATTGCAATGGAGATCAAATTTCTGGAGATGGTTGGAAGCTATATTAGAGGCAAGGAGCAGACAAAGAGGAGAAGACCACATCACTTTCATAACATCTGGCAAATTTGGAAGGCAAGGAATGCTCGACAATTTGAAAGGAAACGTGGAGAGCACATGGCCATACTAGAAACTGCAAAAAATGAATGGCTGGAGTTCCAAGAGGAGCAGGTGGAAAATGAAAAAAAGCACAGGACAGGAACAAGTCACCAAATGCAAAACCATCAATGGAGGCCACCAGACGTAGGGGTAATGAAGATAAACACTGATGCTGCGATTCCTACTAAACCAGCAGGAGCTGAGTTAGGAATGATAGCGAGAGATAGTGATGGAAACATTGTCCAAGCAAGAGGCATCAGGAAGTATAGCAGTGGAGGTGCGGAAATGGAAGAGGCAGATGCACTTCGACAAGGCTTGCTAATGGCTAGAGAAGCTGGATGGCGAAGAATTGAAATGCAAACTGATTGCAAAGCTGCCATTGAAACAATATGCAAGACAGGCTTGGGTGAAACACCAATTGGCACGATCATAGAAGATATTAGACATTTGAGTGACATGTTCCAAGACTGTACTTTTTCTTTTGTGTATAGAGATGGAAATAGAAATGCTCATAAAATGGCACAATTTGCAACTAAACTTGTTTCCAAGATAATATGGAAACAAAGTTTCCCCCTGTGGTTCAAAGAGAGTATACAGGAGGATAATAGGACCAATGTCCTTTTATGTAACTAAAATCTTGTATTATCAAGTTCATATATAAATATAAGAAGAATACCGTTTGAGAAAAAAAAAAATCCATCCATCGTTGTCATCTTCAATAACGTCTTCAATTGAGGATTTTTCAAGTTCCTTAGACAAAGCACTACTTGGTGTGGATAGAACTTCTATCGGACAACACACAGACCCAAACATTAGTGTTGTTTGGTTTGCCGATGCTTTATCTTCCTCGAGAAGGATTTTTCCTTGACGAGCCAATTCCATAATTTTGTCTTTAAAGACAAAGCATTTAGTGAGAGGGTGGCCAATCAAGCGATGATAACAACAATAATTTGGATCATTGACTTGACCGGCTTCCTCTGGACGTTTCATGTCAGGAAGTTCAAGGAGCTTCTCCTTGAAAAGATCATCAAACATCCCTTGTAAATCGGATTCAAGAAAGGGGTATTCCTTTTCTTGCATTTCTTTTTGAGTAGGTCTTCTTACCGACCTATTTTGAGGGGAGTCTACCTTTTCGGTGACCTTTCGACTCACCTTGATAGCAATTTTCATGGGAGCTGTGTTTATTGCCATGGACTCCTTATTACTGAATTTTGAAGGAGGCTTGCCCCTCTTTTTATTTTCTTGCCTTTCATTGCTTTGACGAGGCGGTTGCACTCGCGGAGCTTGAATAGGAAACCCATCAGTTGCATTGACCGTGATGCTTAACTCTATATCATGAGCACGAGTAGCTAATTCTTCAAATGTGTTCGGACGTATACCCTGTAGAATGTAGCTTAGGCTCCAATGCATTCCTCGGATGCACATTTCTATGGCAGAGGGTTCAGACAGTCTGTTCTTGCAATTAAGACTCAGACTTCTCCACCTATCAATGTAGTTGACCATAGGTTCATCCTTCCATTGACGAGTGTTAGTCAACTCCAGCATACTAACGGTTCTTCTAGTGCTATAGAAGCGATTCAAGAACTCTTGTTCCAACTGTTCCCAACTGTCGATGGACTCCAGAGTGAGATCAGTGTACCAATCAAACGCGTTGCCCTTCAAGGATCGGACGAATTGTTTGACTAGCAAGTCACCAAGCAAGTCACCATAGGTTCTAGCGTTATTGCAGGTTTCGACAAAATGGGCCACATGTTGCTTTGGACTACCTTTCCCATCGAAATGTTGAAATTTAGGTGGTTGATATCCAGCAGGCATTGCTAGGTTGTCGATTCTAGCAGTGTAAGACTTGCAGTAGGTAAAGCTTGACTTTGAACCATCCTCCTTTTTATCTTTGATCACGCCTTCAACAAGTTCCTTTAGTTGTTCCACGGGGATAGTTCCATCGGCGGTCACATATACTTCCTTCACCTTGTCTTTGTCTTTAGATGAGGAAATTTCACGCTCTTGGTGCTTCTTAGGATTCGCATGGCTTCCTTCAGGAGCGTGATCTTTCTGGGTGAGCAGTTGAGCAATGAGAACATCTTGGTCCTTGATGTGTTTCATCATGGTTTCCATCATCTTGGACATGTTTGAAACTTGTTCTTCGAGACTCAAAGTATTTGTCATCATGGCAGGCATTGCAGCAGCAGAATCTTCAATACAAAATTTTGAATGAAGAGCTTCATGTGAAGAGGCTGATCCAGTGCTTGATGAATCATCGTCATGCTTAGAAAACTTGGATTCGGATCCAAATTCGAGCATGGCAAGAGCCTTCTCAATAGAGGCAGGAACGTTTTGGATCCCCATCGTGGAGGAATAGCTCATTGGTGATGTCGAACTGAAGACGGGAGTTGGTGCTGATGGAGCTTCCATGCTACTTTGGGTGGAGGCTCTTGTCATACTCCTTGTCACAGGCCCAATAGCGCGGGTATTGGTGGCAACATGTGCAGCTTCCTGAACAGGCTTAGCATCAGTAGTCTTGGAACGTGCAATCATGATTTTGTTGCTCTTTGGTGTCATTGGTGATATACGTAGTTGAATATTCGAGAAAAAGAGATGGAAGGTAGAGATGGTTCCACTGGGCGTGCCAAAAATTTGTACGCGATAAAGTTTCAAATCTGTAAAAGACAAGAAAAATACACGACAAATGTGTGATATATAAATTTAAGAAAATATGTGAGTACAATCTCTAGGGTTTTCTCGAACTTGTGGAGAGTTTCCCTTGATTCTCCTCCTCAAACACCAATCCAAGGGCTTCGCAGCTTGTTCTTGGATCCACCACCAATTCCTCCAAATCTTGATATGGAAGACTTGAAGGGTTTGGAAGATATTTGAAACTCAAGTCTTGATATATGGGAGACTTGAAGAGTTTTAAGACCCGGACCTCTCGTGGCTTGGAACTTCAATGTTTGAGCGTATGAGATACCTCTGGATTTCTGTGTCCATGTTTTGGTTGACAGACCTCTATTTATAGTTGTAGCAAGAGGTAGAGGTTGAAGACCTGTGTACTACTTTACTTGTCTTGCAAGACGTGCAGTCATATTAGGACTGTACCAGTTAAATATTATCTCTTTATTTTGTATTTATTAATAAAGAGATAATACTAATAACTAATTCCTTGATTGGCCAATCTTGTAGGAACACGTGACGTGGCGCCATTTGATTGGACAACCTATCACAGTATATAAGAAATATACCTGGATTAAACAACTCTAAGTATTAAAAAATAAGTACTTAGATATTTATCTAATAGGCATGTGATATGATATGATTTGGTTGGTGGAGATATCCCTGCAATTTGAATTTGGAACACCTCTCCTTGACACGTGGCAAAATATAATTGGCCATTTAATAACCAATGTTTTCAAATGTACATGACATACGACAATACCCGATTGGATAGAAATAAGCCACAAAAATAATTTATAGACCAATGGTATTTTAAGAATTAATTAAAATTCCATTGTCTACAACTACAATCCTATTGGTCCACATGTCCTGCTGATGTCAAAATTTGTTACACCATTGCAGTCACATTCTCTGAGTTGTTTTCCCAGTGAAAGTTTGACTTCACTTCCACGCCTTCCGTAGCTCCTCTTCACTTCATTCCACGTCTTCTCTTCTGGAACCACGCCTTCACATTTCCTATAGCTTAAGTTCTGCTTCATGACATGGACAAGGTTACATTCTTGGATCACAAACTTTCTCGATCAAGGGATTGCCCTTTGTAATGGGAATACTCAGGTTATGCTGTTCGGATTGCAATTTGGAGACTTTCCCCCTTTTAGTTAGGGCTGCCACATGAAGCTCTGGAGAAGCGAGGGAGGTACAGAGGCATTGTCACATCAAATCTTGCTAAAAATAACTTTAACGAGTCACGACACCTCTATTTTTCTCAAGAAGTGGAAGCTGGAAGGGGGAACTTGGTTAATAACCAAGAGATGTCTCTCCATGCAAGTTTTTGTCCTTGATTCAGGCACACAATGACTAAACAGAATTTCATCCTGTTAGAGGTCTCAGAAAACAAAAATCTATGGTTCCTTATCAACTATTGCCATCGACATAGGACCTTTTCATCACTTGTCTAATCTTTGCATAAGCAATTAAGCATATAGGCTGTTGTATCCATGGAAGCTCTCCAAACTGAACACAATCTTGAACCAGAAACAAAGGAAAGTAACAAAGTCCCACATATAAGAGGCAAAAATTTCGAATAAATCAAAGGCAAATTTCTGTATATATGAAATGTTGAGCAATGACCAGAGCACTCGTCAAATACACGTTAAGATTTCTCATCTGTAGAAGTCACTAGTTATTGTATAATCATCATGCTAAAACATCCAAAGGTAGCATCAATATAAGATGTGCCCTCATGAAACAGCAAGAGGTTATGAATTAACCCATCAGTCCACCTGTATAGGTTCAATTCTTCAGCAAAGAAGACAGCAGACTGCCAAAAGCTTCTCAGGGAGCTGTAAACCATTCTGCACTCTGCATCCAGCAGGCTACATTACTCCAACAGCAAAAAGAAACGATGCACAAATTTCAAGGAAGAGAAATGGTGGCCCGTTCAACCATTGCAAATCCACAACGTACAACTCTGTGCTACCTCGGTAAAGCTGTAGGGAAAAAGGAATGTTAATTCATGAAATTATATGATCTCATGCAAAAGAAAAATATGTTACGGACAAGTCCTGAAGAACGTTGCAATTTATTGCACAGTTTCTATGCTTTAGCTGAGTGATTACTGAACATTGCTAGTTCCTCATGTATCAAAAACGAGTAAACCAGCTACTGGCTAAATATGAAAACAAGGAAATCTCATCTTTCTTGTTAGTGCATAATGATGCTTTTCTTCTTACACACTGCATTATTCTTATTGTTTAATTCATCCATTAGAAGGAATAGCTTTACCTCAACAAGCAAGCACATAAACTCAACGACTGGTACAATTAGTGCCTGACGCTGATCAAAGATCACACAAGTTCAGACTAATTAGAAGGCCCTAATCAACTTTGACTCAAAATCAAGAAAAACTGCTTATCAGAGCCACTTTTGTTTGAACATAAAGTGGCTATTGTAGTCAAGTACAACATGCTGTACCATGCTGCCTTGTGGATTATGCAGTAAACTTATAACCAAATGGTAACAACATTTTCTCATGATATTCCATTTCTCAAGTTCAAGAACATAAGTAGAAAACCAAAAACTGTTTCTCACCTGCAATTCAAACTTAACAACATCATGCTTTCTAATGCCCATCCCATTAGCAGCTGTACTTGGCTCTGTTTTGCCATCGACAGGCTTTGTTTGAGGTATTTGGGGGAACTGATCAACAAATTTTCCATTTAAAGCTTTGGAAGATGGAGGGTTCCATAGACATTTCATGTTATAAGGTCCTATTTGCTTCCACTGCACATTTATGCTATGAAAAACTTTTAAAACATCCATCATAGTTTGATGCGGAGATGCCTGAGACTGGACATAAATGAAACCAGCAATGTTTAAATTCAGAGAAGAATATCCGTTATCACAACTAAAATTATGTTCGCATGATTGATCAATGTTACCTTAAACCCAAGTGTCCACTTCTGTTCAAGAGCAGAAACAGACCTCAAGAAAATTCGAGTATGGTCGAACAACTCCTGCGACTACAACAAAATTACTTCAACTGAAAGTCTTTGCTAAGTAATTTACTAGTGCATGATATGGTTTTCTATGCAGTTTTGTCTCAAGGATCTGTTGTTACTGTTAGAAAATATTTGGCCTTGGACAATTTTGCTAGTCTAATAGCACTTTATACAGGAATTACCAGGAATCTGTCAATTATCAAAGACAAAGTGGTGCTCTAGTCTACCTTCATTTTCCAGCTTTACCTTCCCACCCCACCTTCCCAGGCCATTTATATAAATATTCCTATCACAACTTCCACTGAAAAATCAGTGGAAAATCATAAGAAAATGGTTTTCATCTACATAACAAAATAATTTTTTTTAAATTAGGTTGCTTTTTTCTCTTCCCCTCCTTTGGTGCAGATGGGATTGAGGAAAGAATCAACTTACGGAAGATTCCCCAAGCTCGCTTCTACCATAACTAAAGCGACCTTGAAACTGACGATGCAACAGCAGATAATATGTGACTGTGATCTGAAATTTTACAGCATGTCAGACGACCAATCAAATTGAGAATTCAGATTGTAATTGATAAAGCTTTAACACCTCATTTTGCAGATGATTGAGAACAGACCCAATCACTTCACAAATATCAAAGCCCATGTTAACCATTTCTCTAACAACTTCCTCATCTACCTGTCAAAGGCAACAGAAAACTTGGTTAATTGCTGGAAATTGTTGATCAGACATCACCAAGTACATGCAATATTTAGAGAGCAGAAACTTGTTGCAATACAAAATTCACCATACAAATGCATAATAATTTAAGATTTAATCCTAACAATGTTTAAAATAGACCAAGAAAAATGAATAGAATATTTGAGCATGCAAGTGTAATAAAGTTATTGGACTTATCACCATTTGTGAAATAATTTAAGTCAATTACGCTTAGGATTGCGTGTAATATTCATGTAAAGAAGATAAGTCCTTCAGAAATAGCTGTTAAGCATAATCCACAACACCAAATATGGAATGATATTCAAGTTGTTGAAGATATGTAATCTGATATTATGGAAAGATTTGATATTGTAAATATTAGGAAAGATTAGATTTGATTGATTATAGTATCATATGATTATAGTATCCACTTGTGTATATATATTTGTATATTGTGTAGTCCAAAGAGATATGAAAAAGAGTATTTTTTCTCTCCCTTTTTCTTAGCTTTCATGGTATCAGAGTTTCAGGCTCTGTTATCAGTTTGTCTTTTGACGTGACCCTATCGAGTCACTTTTAGGTCTTTCTTGTGTGAATCTCTGTTATCAGTTTGTCTTTTGACATGACCCTATTGAGTCACTTTTAGGTCTTTCTTGTGTGAATTATAATGGCAGATATGAAAGGTAGTAGTAGAGAGATGAAAACAGTAATTTCTAATGTTATTCCTACAACATCAAAAATTACTGGACATAAATTGAGTGGAAAAATTTTTTTGGATTGGAGTAAAACTATTCGGATATATCTGCGCAGCATCGATAGAGATGATCATCTCACTGATGACCCACCCGTTGATGGGGAAGAAAAGAAGGTTTGGCTAAGGGAAGATGCAAAACTTTTTTTGCAAATCCGAAACTCTATTGATAATGAGATAGTCAATCTCATCAATCATTGTGAGTTTGTTAAAAATCTCATGGATTATTTGGCTTTCTTGTATTCTGGTAAGGGTAATTTAAATCATATATATGATGTTTGCAAGGAATTTTACGGTCCGGAAAAACAGCAAAGATCTCTTACAGAATATTTTATGAATTTTAAACGTGTATGAAGAATTGAATTCTCTCCTTCCTTTGAGTACTGATGTAAAAACTCAACAGTCTCAACGGGAACAAATGGCTGTAATGAGTTTTCTTTTAGGATTACCAATTGAGTTTGATGCTGCTCGAACACAAATTCTCTCTAGCCCAGAGATTGTTTCCTTCCATGAAACTTTCACACGAGTGTTGAGAACCGAGGGATCTTTGTCTACTTCCAATGTTACTAGTGCTCTCGCGAGTCGAAGTGGAGCTGGTCATAATGGTAGAAACAGTGGCAAAAATGGAACTGGTGGGATTGCTGGTCATGGACAATACAACTCAAATCAGCGAGTCTGTTATCACTATAAGAAACCAGGCCATACCATGCGTACGTGTTGGGACCTTCATGGTAGACCTCAACAGCAGCCCCCGTTTGCAAATTTCGCATCCCAGGAAAATAATTATGTGCCGTCTGACAAATCCATACTCATCTCTGCTGATGAGTTTGCCCGCTTTACTGAGTTCCAAGCCTCACAAAAATCTGCTAACCCATCTTCTAGTACCAATCTTCCTTCTATTGATCACTCAGGTAAACCTACTACATGCCTTATGTCATCTTCTAACAAATGGGTCATCGATTCCGGTGTAACAGATCATATGACCGGTAATAAAGGTATCCTCTCCTCTTTTAATCCTAACAAAGATCATCCGAATGTTACTTTGGCTGATGGGTCATGTGCTTTAGTTGTGGGTTCTGGTATAGCAATTCTTGTGTCATCTATCCCCTTATATTCAGTCTTATGCTTATCTAATTTTTCGTTTAATTTACTCTCAGTCAGTAAAAGCTCTCAAGTGCTCTGTCTCATTCTTTCTTGAATATTGTGTTTTTCAGGATTTTATGACCGGAAAGATTATTGGTAAAGGACGTGAGTCTGGCGGTCTGTATACACTTGAAACCCCTTCATCAAAAGTGCCGAAACCTGTTGCATGTTCCTCCACCTTGACTCCGCTTGAAATTCACTGTCATTTGGGTCATCCATCTCTACCCATTTTGAAAAAGTTGTGTCCAAATTTTCAGAATTTATCCCATTTAGATTGTGAGTCATGTCAATTTGCCAAACATCATTGTTTGCCTTACTTGCCTAGAGTCAATAAACGGGCTTCATTTCCCTTTGAATTAGTGCACTCTGATATCTGGGGCCCTTGTCCAATAGTATCTATGTCTGGTTTTAAGTATTTTGTCACCTTTGTTGATGACTATTCTCGTGTTACTTGGTTATATTTAATGAGAAGTCATTCAGATTTATTTAATATCTTTTGTTCCTTTTGTTCTAAAATAAAAACACAATTCAATGTGTCTGTCTGCATTTTGCGAAGTGATAATGCAAAAGAGTACTTTTCTAAACCCTTTAATTCATATATGTCAGAAAATGAAATCCTTCACCAATCTTCATGTCCTGACACACTACCACAAAATGGTGTTGCTGAAAGGAAAAATAGGCACTTACTAGAAATTGCTAGAGCCCTTCTATTTCACATGAAGGTTCCTAAGCAATTTTGGGCAGATGCGGTTTCAACAGCCTGTTTTTTAATTAATCGCATGCCATCTTCTGTGCTTGCTGGTGAGATTCCTTATTCAATTTTGTCTCCAACCCAATCTTTATTCCCCATTGAGCCACGCATATTTGGGTGTACTTGTTTTGTTCGTGATACCCGTTCTCAGGTGTCTAAATTAGATCCCAAATCGCTCAAGTGTGTGTTTTTGGGTTATTCACGTCTTCAAAAAGGGTATAGATGTTATTCTCCAACTTTATATCGTTATTTAGTCTCTGCTGATGTTACATTTTTTGAGGCACATCTATTTTTTCTTGAGTCTAATGTCTACAGTAGTCAAGGGGAGGGAGATGATATTCTAGTCTACACTGTTACAACAACTGTTCCTACAAGACCACCGATCACTCAAGTGTATTCTCGTCGTTCTCAACACATAAACTCGCATCTTCCACCATCTTCTCTGTCTACAGATCCAAGTCCTGATCCACCGCTTCCTCAGTCTTTAGATTCTAGTCTTGATTTGCCTATTGCTTTAAGAAAAGGTAAAAGACAGCGCACTTATCCAGTTTCATCATTTGCTTCATATGACCATTTGTCTCCCTCCTTGCGTTGTTTTACTGCTTCCTTAGATTCAATATCTCTTCCTCAACACTTATCTGAGGCTTTGGAGCATCCTTGTTGGCGGGCTGCTATGGAGGAAGAAATGATGGCTCTAGATAATAATGGTACTTGGGATTTGGTTCATCTACCAACAAGTAAGAAACCTATTGGTTGTAAATGGGTGTTTGCTGTAAAAGTCAATCCTGATGGTTCTGTTGCTCGCCTCAAAGCTCGTCTTGTTGCTAAAAGGTATGCTCAGACATATGGGGTGGATTACTCAGACACGTTTTCTCCCGTAGCAAAACTCACCTCTGTTCGATTATTTATTTCCCTTGCTGCTACTAATAATTGGCCTTTGTACCAGTTAGATGTTAAGAATGCATTCCTTCATGGGAATTTGCAAGAGAAAGTTTATATGGAGCAACCACCTGGATTTGTTACTCAGGGGGAGTCTGGTAAGGTTTGTGAACTCCGAAAATCACTATATGGTTTAAAACAGAATCCACGTGCTTGGTTTGGGAGATTCAGTGAGGTGGTTCAAGAGTTTGGCATGAAGAAGTGTAATTCTGATCATTCTGTCTTTTATCAACAATCTGAAGTTGATATTATTCTATTAGTGGTTTATATTTATGATATTGTTATTACTGGTAGTAACAATGCAGGTATTACAGCTCTTAAAGATTTTCTTCAATCGCGCTTCTAGACAAAAGATTTGGGTATGTTGAAATACTTTTTAGGCATTGAGGTTACAAGATGTAAACAATGTATCTTCTTATGCCAAAGGAAGTATGTTCTTGATCTTTTGAAAGCAACAGGAAAGCTAGGTGCTAAGCCATGCAGTGCACCAATGATCCCCAACATGCAACTTACAGCAGATGATGGGGAGTTATTTTCAGATCCTGAAATGTACCGGAGATTAGTGGGGAAGTTGAATTATCTTACTGTGACTTGTCCGGATATTGCATATCCAGTTAGTATTGTGAGTCAATTTATGTCCTCACCAAGAACCACCCATTGGGCAGTTTTAGAGCAAATCTTATGTTATCTTAAAGGAGCTCCAGGACGTGGGATACCATATGGTAATCATGGTCATTCTCATGTTGAATGCTTCTCAGATGCGGATTGGGCAGGTTCTAAAATTGATCCAAGATCTACAACTGGATATTGTGTCTTCGTTGGAGGTAATTTGGTATCGTGGAGAAGTAAGAAACAAAGTGTAGTATCTCGCTCTAGTGCAGAGTCCGAATACTGATCTATGGCACAATCCACTTGTGAGCTTATATGGATACATCAATTATTGTGTGAGGTGGGAATCAATAATTCACTTCCAATGAAATTATGGTGTGACAATCAAGCTGCCCTTTATATAGCATCAAATCCAATTTTTCATGAGAGAACAAAGCATATTGAAGTTGATTGCCACTTTGTTCGTGAAAAATTCAACAAAACTTGATCTCAACCAGTCATGTGAGAACTGGAGAACAGTTAGCTGATATTTTCACTAAACCTCTAAATGGTCCGAGAATTGATTACATTTGTGGCAAGATGGGCATGATTAACATCTATGCTCCATCTTGAGGGGGAGTGTTGAAGATATGTAATCTGATATTATGGAAAGATTTGATATTGTAAATATTAGGAAAGATTAGATTTGATTGATTATAGTATCATATGATTATAGTATCCACTTGTGTATATATATTTGTATATTGTGTAGTCCAAAGAGATATGAAAAAGAGTATTTTTTCTCTCCCTTTTTCTTAGTTTTCACAAGTCAAGCATTTCATTGTTTACATAATTAATGTAAGGTGCAATTCCATATATATGGGACTATGGCTTCATAATATACTTCAAGAAGAAAAAGAAACCTTCAAGTTGACCTAAAGTTGAATTAAGGAACATGATACTGTTTTTATCAAAGCTTTTGGAAATATATATTTTAGAAAAACATTTCAATGTCCAGTGTATATATATTCTGGGAAGAAAATTTTGAAGTCCTGTTAGGGAAAACCAAAGGGTATTATAGTTAAGACAAGTGCTACTGGAAATATGCAGGAAATAAAATAGTTGGTACCAAACATATAACAAGCAGTTGGAGAAAAATACTCAAAATTCCGGGGCACTGATTAATGTTTCTTGTGCGCATAAGCATTGGTTAGAGAAATCACATAGGTAAATTATTGTGACAGTGTCAGTGACAGAGACAAAGTTTAACATGCATGCCCTTGCATAAGAAGGAAATCATTATTGAGACAGGTAAAGTGATTCTTATTAATTATGACACCAATCCTATCTGACAAATAATTACCTTTTACTTTTAAACACTAGCTTTTAACAAAAACAACAAAAGAGAAACAAAATAAAGTTAAGCACCTTACTAATCCTATCAATGCAACTGCATTACCAGGTTGTAGAATATGATGGATAAATAATAGCATGAATCCAATGATGAGATCTAAGCCTGAAAGAAACTAACTCATTATGTTTCAAAATGTTCCTCATTTCTAAGGCAAATATCCTTCATGTTTTCCTCCTATAATAAGTTGCTATTGCAGTATTGCCAATTAAAAAACTAAAATTATAACAATGGCAGACATGCAATCTACCAAAAATTGGACTACTTTGTGATCAAGAGACTGCTCATATCACCTTTGTTGTATCATATAATGACTCAATTGTTGCATTTGATATATACCGCGGGATGTGTTGCTGAAACCATGGATGCCGGCGTATTTCAGGAATGGATATGCGGTCCACAGGGTTGACCTCAAAAATCCTTGCAATCAAGTCATTTGCACCCCTTGACATGTGATTTGAGACTGTGTAACTACCATTCTAGCAGCAAAAGAACCAAGACTGCTGAGTGAAAAAGTGAACATTTAGGAAAAGAATTTCAATTATCTAACCTACCCTTATTTTTGCATATAATCCAGGAAGGTTATCATCATCAAAAGGAAGCCTTCCGCAGATTAGAGCATATAAGATAACTCCACAACTCCATACATCAGCTTCGGGACCAGCATAAAGTCGATTACCCACAACCTGAGTTCAGAACAATGCAATTGTCATTGTGCACAACATTATATAGTTGTAACCAATTAAGAATGTAGACCCAACCTCTGGAGCAGCATAATTTGGACTCCCACAGCTTGTTTTGAGGAAATGGCCATCACGCATTATATTCCCAAGTCCAAAGTCAGCAATTTTGACATTGCGTTTAGAATCCAACAGTAGGTTTTCTGGCTTGAGGTCCCGATGAACCACCATGTGATGGTGGCAATACTCAATACCTGAGATTATCTACTTTAAACTTTATCTGATTAGTACAGACAACCTCATTTATCTCTTAAACAAAATCTAGAAAGCACATTAGATTACATCCAAAGAATTAAAGTTGAAACATTTTCTTATTTAATTAAGTATTATGAACTGTAGCATATAAGTCATCCAGAGTAAAGAATCCAACACATCCAAGTGTGAAACCATCCAAAAAAGCTTGAGCAATATAATTTATCCTAAGTTTAAACTGTTGAAGGATGCTTTAACATAAAGAACGTCCAAATGTATCTGTTCCCTAACTACTACTTTTCCAAGCATTCAATCTCATTGCGTACTATTATACAAGGAATTATATGTGCATTCACTTGCAAAGATGATAAAGCATATTTAATTGATTGCAAGCTTCATAAACATCAGAGGCTAATGCATTAGGTTTTAGCTAAGTCTACGGTATGAGTGACACCATATACTAAGTAAACATGTGAGCAAGGGGTTCACAGGTTCCCATCCCCCAACCCCACATACAAGCAACTCCACATCTGTAATATAATATAATGCAGTTCAGTATTTTGTATAATAGTTCTCCTCCTTGTGCCCCTCCACTGCTCTCTTTCCCACAAAACAACCTGTAAGAAAGATTCATACTTCAACTACTTTCAAATGAATGGCACTCTTTGAAGAAATTTTGAATTATCTGTGTAATTGTCAACAAAACAATTTATATCTTGCTTGTGTTTGACTATGAGCGCTTCTCTGCACCCTAGACTAGTCAGGGCCCGCTTTGCTTGCCATGTAACATCATAACTATTATTTACATGGCAAACATAACTATTATTTACAGCAAGAGTTTGACAGGACCAGAAGATTTTCTTGCTTGGGAGGTTAAAGTGAAGATTCTCCACTATGTTGTCCTCGAGCCGAAGGACTTGAATCTTTTGCTAAGGAGGATCCACAAATAATTGATGTGAAACTTTTTAGTAATAATTATCTAGTCCAAATTCAGAGTCTCCAATTTGGCGTGAAGTCCATGATATGTTGTTTAAACATACTTTCAGGCCAAAGAAGCAGAAAGCTTTATTCCAGAATAGGAGAAACTAAAATAAGCAATCCCTTTAAAATCTCTGTTATCAGTAATCAATATGTTTTTGGGCCAGAAGTATGAGTTACACGTATATAATGGCAATCATTCTTTTATACCAGCCAGATGTTTCTTCTCTTCCACACGCATATGCTCTCTCAGACTTGTATGGCTACAATCCTTGTTAGTGTATGACAGTATTATTGGAAATTGAAATAAAAACAAATGCTTCAACCTGGAAGAAAAGAGTTCAAATGAAGTTAAAATGTTTATTTATCTTAATCAGTCCATTTTCAGGCCAACTGTAACTTCTATAACACTTGAAAGAAACACATTTAAGTTATCTCTTGAATCCAAATTCTGAGATGAATTACATCCAAGGAGAAGTTTGACTACAAACTTTTATGTTACTTGCACGAGAAATTACATACCAAACATTAATGCCAATAAAGTGCCTATGAGTGTTTTCTATCCCAGTCTTTCTCTGCCCCTTACATGATATGCTTCTGTTTGGTTCGTTCACTGTTAGAAGTCAAACTTTTAAGTTGATTAATCACATGTAGAAGTCAACTAGGACAGAAAAATCTCAAGTGATATTATGGCTTAATTCAACCATTAGCATAACTGAAATGTAATACGTTGTCAGACATATATTCTATGGAGATGGTTACAATGGTTCTATGCAGACTTGTGCTTAAGGAGTTTTAGACAAATGGTTTGAGCCTTCATTATTGACCATCTATACCCAAGCCATTGCAAGAGGTATAAAGAAAGTGATGCCCAAAACTTTTCAAACAAAGAAAAACAGTTCTATGCCCAAAACAGTTCTATTCCCAAAGCTTTTCACTATCTGCTGCATAGGTCGGAGTCTTAGCTCCTTATAGTACCCATCCAAGTTTCCTTCCAGTACCATAAAGCATATTGATTGGTACTAGTGTTTAGATGAGAATTAGTACTCCCCAGTACATTCCAATTCAACACTTGAGAAATACTCTAATTCTGCAACTAAAGTTGTAAACTACAGCCAATACAATAATAGCAACTAGGGACCAACCACTTTAGGCCATTGATTTTGGCTTCAACATGTTTCTGGGTTCATTCACCCCAAGAAAGTTGACACCTTCTTTTGGTGAGCTATTTTATAATCACAGCTACTGCCACCATAAAGTTCAAGCTGACAATTTGAGGATTTTTTTGGTTGAACTTTTCACAACCAAAAGAAAACCCTCATTTCATTAATAGCCACAAGAGTTTCATCCATACTTCATTGAACTCTTGCACATTGATCCGCTTTGACATCTTTTGCAACCACTTTGTTTCAAACTTCAGGAGAAAAGGGTAAAAAAAAGGTCTAAGTAGATAATATGCATAGGACCAGCATCTGACTCCCTTTACACATTTATTTTCTGCTTCCTATCCAGGTTGCCTTGCCCTGCTAAATATGTTTCTGCTACTAACTCTAGCTTTCCTAGATAAATGACTTTTCAAATTCTATTTCCAGATAATAGTCTTATGTTCATTGGAGTAAATATTCATATATCTTATTAGTGTTACAATTTCGACCTTCTCAATCTCTTAATTATGAATAAGAATTATATCTTGGTTTTGGCTTGTGAAAGTACTTGAATGATTGATTCATCTCAGGTGATGCTCCTATTTCCCTTTTCCATTCTTACATAATATAAGATTCTCTTTGTTTGCATATATGGGAGCTCCTTTTCAGTTTTTATGGCACATTTGTCATCTGTCCCATCCCTTTAAGTTAATGAACGAGAAGATTTTAGTTGAAAAGACCAAGCTAGTGATTTCTGATTGTCCACTTATATTTGATGTCAGCTGCATAAAATATCAAAGCAGATGAAACAAAAAAGCTACTTGAATCAAACTAACCAAGATGTGCAGAAACTTAAACTATTCAAGGTGCATGCTTGTTTAGTCAATAACACGTGTCTGAATAAAATAACATATAACCATATAGAAAATGAATACTGGGATGAATTTTCCATTACAGCTACTGAATGCACCTGTTGAAAGAAGTGGCGGGCTTCATCCTCATTCAATCTACCTTTCTCTGTGATGTAGTAAAATAGTTCACCAGAATTCATATACTCCATAACCACATATATGTGGGAAGTTGTTTCTATAACTTCAAAGAGCCGAACAATATGAGGATGTGAAAGCTGCCTCATTATATTAACTTCTCGTCTAACTGGACCAGAAGAGGAAAAGGATGTTTATTTGGTCAAATATTAAATTTAGAAAGGCTTCAGCCTTCTAGTAATAAATTAGGACAAAAGATCAATTATATCAAGAAGCAAGTTTTTTGGTGGCATGAAACGCTTTGAACAGAATATTGGTTCGACACTGAGTAATTTTTTCCATAGGTCATGCATACTGCGAATGACAGGACATACTGAAATTGCATATCGACAGAACCAAGAAAGCCATGACTTCCATCAATTTTTGCCAGTCTTCCTCTAATGCAAGCATACTTGAAATTTATAATCTCAAAATTTCCAGTAATTCCAAGTGCCATGTTTCTTGAATTTTATTTGCTCATTAAAATTTTAAGTTCATTTCAAACACAAGATGGAAAAATAGAGAAGAGATATATGGGATAGGTTAGAGGCAGAGCTTCACCAAGTGGAGTTCCTGGTTGTTGGTGAAAAGTAGGAGGCACAAACGTGAAAACAAGTTAGAGGAGAATATGATCAATTGATAGCTCAGATTCACATATCCAATTCAGATAATGATATATGCAACAACATTTCAACTAGAGAGCACATAAGACCATCTTTATTCTACTGGTTTAAATCCAACGCCCACTGTCACAGACCTGGAATCAGTTGACAAATTTGGATATTTAATCCAAACTCAAGATAGATCTAGCTAACTGATGAATAAAGATTAACAAGAATAATACCATGGAATTCATCAGGGACAAGGCACATATCAAACTTGCTGTGGTGGTTATCAAGTTAAGGAGGCAATGGTGAGCTTGGAACAGTGGAGGAAAAAAAATTCCCAAAAGCTTCGGGATAAAGCTAGTGGCTAAAGCACATTTGCTGTCATAAAATTGGAAAACCATTCGACTGCATCTATTCGAAAAAACTTATGTGGTTATTCAAAATAGTTGTGTCGTCAGGATGATTAGATACACACTCAGAATGTGAATCCAGTCAAATTCTGTCGCCTAAATGTTCTTACACATGCATTTCACAACCCAAATTCTGCTGCTTTCTGATAATCATGGAGAACATAAGCAATAAAGCCAACCTAAACTTCACAATCATCAAGTTTAAGTAAGAACATATTCTGCTTAAAGATATATTATTGAAACAACAAATACCCATGTTGGTTTAAATGCACTGGAATTTCGTCAAATGGACTGAGCTTAAGTACAAGAACAAATTACTGATCACAGTTTCTAATCAAAGTCCATACATGACTAAGAGTATTCATTGTTGCAATGAATATTTAATGCCTATCAAACACAGATAGCTGGCATAGAAGTTCAGGCAAGTGAACTGTATACTTAAAATTGCAAATCTTGGACAGATGAAAAATCTTATGAAATAATCTTATTAATATGTTGTGGGCTCAAACTAATCAAAAGTACCTTATTAATGAACATTGCCATAGAGAACACTTTACTATAGAAGGACATTAAATGTTTTGAAGATATAAATTGCAAGTGAATATACAAAAAAAATAAAACATTTTTATTGGACTAAATTAGAGTCTAATTCAGACCATATGAAAAGATGAAATTTTGGTGGACAGTGATGTTAGATTCTGAATTATTTACCATACACAGCACCAGATTCACTTTTGGTATTTTAAATCAAAATTAAGTACTCTTTTCGTGCTGAGAATTTACTCTACTGAAGAAGATGGTCCTGAGAATTTACTCTACTGAAGAAGATGGTCCATTCACTGATAACTCCTTAAAGCTTTATCTTACAAATTTTGCTCCCTGCTTTGTGCCTCCATATAGAATGATTAAGCATAAAGGGAAAATAGGCGGGCCTATTTCTGAGTTACAGGCTGTACTGCTTGTCCCACCAAAAAGAAAATAAAAAGGAACTAAAATACAAGAAATTTATGTTATAAACCTGCTCTCAAGAAAGAACTCCCAGTATGTCCAACAAATAACCGTAATGACACTGATGTAGAAATGCTTTGGAGGGTCCACTGGTCTATTGTTTCAGGTTCAATAGCTGTTATCAGAGAGTGACTTAGAAACTTTATTCCCTATCATATTCAAAATTAACCAATTCAGTTGGAACACTTAGAATGGTAAACATGCAGACAATATATGTTTAGTCCTTTTACTTTAAAGTTCATTAACATAATTTCATCATTAGACAATTAGGAATGGACTGCAACAGATTTTGTTCCTTTTCTACTGCTGTTACATGCATGTCATCAAGAAGTCTGTTTAAGTGCAAGATAAAACCAGATTCTTGCAAAGACCCGATAAACAATGAAGCAAACGCAGTGGTCCATTTATCAGAAGACTTGTAACTTTAAAATGTACCTTTCATAGTTTCAAACTCATCAAGCGTTTGACGATCAAGGATCTTTATGGCAACTTTAATCCCTGTCAAATTATGAACAGCTAGTTTGACTTTAGCAAAGCATCCAACACCCAATGTCTTGCCCAGCCTGTAGTTTGATAGAACACTCCTATAGGACTTGCGTTCCTTACTAGCTTTTCCCTCCATCTTGAAGCTGCACCAATTAACCATTCAGTTGCTAAGGTTTCCAAAATGAAAAGAAATTCATAATCACATAACTGGCAGCTAAATATGCTTTTGCACAATAGCCACTCAAGAAATCTATCAATGTTAAAAAGAAAAAGAAAAAGAAAAAGAAGAAGTACCCTATGCTCTTTGATCTATGTACACCATTCAAAAGTTCTGAATAGACATCAACATACCCTTATTGTAATACTTAATTGAAAACAGTGAATAGCTATGACACAATCACTTTGAATATTGAAGTCCAACATCAGCAAAAGTAAGTTCAATCCCCTTGTCACTTGAATAGATAAAAAATAATTGACAACACTCAGATATTATTGAGAGGAACACTGAAGTGTACTTTTCCCTTTTCATTTTCATTTTTTTCTTCAGAGATTTTGCAAGCGCTAAAACACAACTAAGGGTTTTAAGGACCAAATAACTTTTACTTCCATCAGCTATCAGTTTTCCTTTAGAGCCATCTCCTTTAAGACTGTCTTTTCTTTTCTTGCATATTGCTTCTACCAATTTGTTTGAGGATCACAGACTCTCTTTTATATCATACAGTGCGTTTTTCCACCATTCATTATTTTTTTTTTTGTTATTCCAAATTAAAGAGTTAGATATATACTTTCTTCTGAAAATTCTAAATCTAACAAGTTTAATTTTTGATTGCTGTCCTGTGTACGATTAGTAAATGGCCCATCGAAAAAAAACCAGTTGATAAGGACTTTAAACTGATCACACCTCATGAGACTAGAATACAGAACAGAGCAAAGACATTATGATCTTAACGGAAAAAAAATTTCAAGATCTGTATAGTCAAAAAACAACCAACCACATAACTGAAACCGAGAATTATTTCAGACTAAAGCAATGTAGCAGAGGGGGGAAGACGTAGCTGATTTGTTCAATCAAATTACAAAGAATTGCACATAATAAAATAAAAATTTTCAACTGATGAGTTTTGAATACAGAGCAGAGTGGCCGTTTTCAAAGAAATTATGATCCTAAAGAAGCAAGTTTCAAGAACTGTATCCTCAAAACTCAAAAAAATCACAAACATAGAAGCAAGAATCGTCTCAGAACAAAGCCAGCATAGCAGAGACACAGAGAAACAACTGATTAGCTCAATCCAGCTTTAAAGAATTACACAAAAACAAAACACCAGTTCGACACATGTACCCATAGAAACTAAACAAGAACTTTAATCATGCATGCATCAGAATTCAAATCAAGTAAACAAACTGATACAAACCTAGTCCAAAATCCAGGAACAGAGAAGAGGAAAGGAGTTGTAGACGCCTTGGAAATGCATAGATGCAACTGAATTGGGACAATTATGTATCTGTTGATGAGCATTAGAAGCTAACAAAATCAATTGAGCATATCTTTTCATCTTGGGTACAACGTCAGACCAACGCGAATAGTAACAAATTACATGAGCGGAGCTAGAGAAAACGACAGAGAAAGGAAAAATAAAGTGAAGAAAAGACGGTGACAAGGCAATATAGAATACTACAACTAATAGTTCTTGTACTAGAAAATGTTCCATGCCAAGAAAGCCATATGTGTTCGCTTTCTAATTGCTGGAATTCTACACTCGCACGGCCAGAGGACTTTATTCGGTGGGGAAAAAAAATGTTGATCAGTTGTGCGCAGCACTCAAGCATCCCATACTTTAAAGTACTTATTTATTATTGAGTTTGGCCAAGGGACATTAATTGGCACCCGTTAAGCGTGTTTATTTTTTATAAATAAATTCAAAAAAGTATTTAAATATAAGAGTAGAATTAAAAGACAAATCAAATTACTCGAATCGAGTTAAAACTCGTTCAAATTTAATTCGCTAATTTATCAAATCAAGTTTAAATAAAAACTTGCGTTTAATAAACTTTTAAATTTAATTCGAACTCAGCTTGATTAGCATATAAGTAAAATGTATGTGTAAAAAATTCAAGCAACTCGAACTTGACTTGAGTTCGATTCGATGAAAGTTTGTTCGATCTCGACTCGAGAAGTAAACAAGACAAATTTGAACAATATTCAATCTCGTCAAAATAATCAAATAAACTTGAACACTAGGGTGTTCAATTTATTTAAACTCATTTACACTCTTATGTAGGAGTACAATAGATGTGAGTTTGTACACTCACATGATAAATTAAATATAATTTAGATGTATTAACAAGTACTCAGAGCATCCATTAGAAAGAGACAAATTTCAACCAATAATATTCAATTTAAAAAAATTCACAATTTTGGTGTTTTGTGGGGGAATTTCTCTATATATTATCCCTACAAGAAAATATTACAAAAGTGGTGTATTTGAGGTTGGTTTCTAATCTAAGGGTCGCAGCAATTGACAATTGAGGCTTTATTAAAAATTTGATTTAAATTTCTTTTATTTTTTGCTGCTAAGGAAGTAAAAATGAACGATTTTTTTTATTTGTTGAAAAGGCTTTGCCACCCATTTGACACGCGGTGAAGCATTTTTATTCATAGTGGCTACCATTTTTTATTTTAAATATAAAAATTTAATTTTTGTAGTACTAAACCCTAGAGTCTAAACCCTAAACCATAAACCCTAAATCCTACAATCTGATATTATGTAAAACAAAAATTCTCCTAAAAATTGTGCTATTTTCGTAAACGGTGATCAATCACCCTTTCAAAATTCCTTTAGGTTCCAATTGAAAATACAAAATTAATTTAAAATGAAAATTTCCCAAGTCCTCCATTTTTGAATTTTTTGGTTTTAACGTTAATTTAAATTATGATAAATAATGCAGTTAACGGGTTCTCAATATAAGTGCAAGTTAATCCAAAATATACTCATTTGACTGCAAGTATACATGTTAAATAGTAGTTTAGGGCATATATCGAATCGATCTCACGAGGAGCAACTATTACAAGTACTAGATCCTTTACTTGCTCTATTATTTAGACTATCTATCAAATAAGGGTAATAGAAATAACAATATTTACTAACTATTTTAACTAAATAACTTGCAAGATAACAATGGAGAAATGTCGCTAAATACTTGAGTTAGAAAAATAGAGCCCACTTATTGCACAAAAGATACAAGTGAATAGATTTACCTCTTGTCACTACTCTTATTTAACTAGAGATTTATTTCCAAATTTGTCAAAACTCACTCTCATGATATGGTAGCTTAGAATAGCTAGTTTTCCTTATTCTCATGGTAAATAACTAGATCTACTCTTTTGTTCTTCATGAAATGCAAGGTTAATCCACTTAAGTGTACCTCTATTCTCATGAGTTTGCTTCTTAAACTCGATTTATGTTGTTTCATCATTATTACCAATTTTCATTGAATAAGAACAACTAAAAACTTGTTATTGGCGATCAAGCAATAACAAGTAATAAGTATGCATAAATGAACAAGTTAATACTAGAGGTAGCAAGTGTAAATTATATTCAGCTCATATCAAGTAGTTATAAATTTCATCTGCTCTTTAGATATAGAAATTTAACCACTCGTGTGATATAAGATCACAAAGAGCATAACTTCATTGTATTTAAACATAATAAATCACAAGTGAAAGGAAAGATAGAGAAAATTTAGGCAAGGTGATGAACAAGCTCCCAATCTTCTATTTCTTCAACAAAAGGAGTGATACAATGAGTTCTCCAAGTTTTTCTTATAAGTTTCTAACTAGAGAGAAGAAGAAAAGGCTACAACTAATTTCTACCAAGAACTACCAAGACTACAACTAATTTCTACCAAGAACTAGCAAGAATTTTCAAGAACTTTTTTCTCTCTTCAATGATTCTTACATATATAATGTTAGGAGAGTCAAGGAGTGGAAAATGATATGATATAAACCTCTTTTTTTCTTCCCTAAGGAATCTTGAGCATGTGCAGCCGAAATTTTGAATTAAAATTGAACTGGAAAGCAGTAAGAAAACTGAGCAATTGCAAAACAAATTGCAGAAAAACAGGACACAATACGCGACCTTGTAATTCGTGGCCTAAGCCCACATATTTGAGGTCGCATATTGCCTTCATGTACGTTTTCTTGCTTCTTTTCTACTTCAGTTGATCGCTATCATCACATGCAAGATGTCCAAGTGTTTGTTCAGGCATTGCACCAGTAATACTTGCATTTGATGCTCTTCTACTTCCCAAATTGCCGTTGAGTCAAAGCACTAATGAGTTTGAATTGAATCCATCTTAATCCAACGTTGATAATTCACCTCAATTCCTACAAATATAACCAACTTTGCACATTAAGTTGCTCAATTGAAACTCATAAAATTTAGAAACTTAGGGAGCAAGTCACATCTTAAAACATCTTAATTTGTACCAAAAATAGGCACAAAATGCTACTTAAAAACACTCATAATAAATACTCATCAAATTTTTCCACACTTAAATCATTGCTTATCACCAAGCAATAAGAAAAATGATCCAACAATGATTTAAGAAGTGAAACGAATCAAATGAATTTGATCATCAATCTCTCTTGACTTGGCCAGCTTTCATGATGCAACCATTTGTATCACCCTCAATATTCATCATATCATGCAAAAGAAAGATAATTATACCTAAAATTCAATCTAACAAAGTCAATCTCTCTATCTCACCTAGTCTCACAAATAACTAACCTATATAGTCACCTTAGAGTTTCTTCCTTTAAAATGAAATGCAAACTTTACGAACCTTAAGAGGGAACTATTCACTTTACTTCTCTTTTGTTCATTCTTAAAAGGGTGAAAGTGTCGTTTTATGCAAAAATTGACATTTTTAGATGAAAATCCCCAATTACTCAACATTTCACTTATTTATACTTAATTTAAATACTTTTTTTTATGTAAAAATTGATATTTATAGATGAACACTCCCAGTTACTCAGTACAAGAATTTATTAAAAATATTTTGACCGAGTTTCTCCTTAAAATTGGACGAAACTCCCTGTCAACAATACCTACTAATCAACAATTCAAAAGCACAAAACAATTTTTCAATGACATGTCCGACATTTAAATACAAAAGTAACTTCTACTGAGGACATTCCTCCCCCCACACTTAATATATACATTGTCCTCAATGTGTAGGGAAAGAAAATAAAGAAAATAAGAACAAGTTACTTTCCAAATCAATGGCTAAGATCCAATTCAACCTTGAGTCATGATCCATCGACAATCAATGACCAAAATCAATTAGAACCACCACAAGTCCCAAGTGCAAAAGTATATGTGCAAGTTAAACATTCTACAGGGAAAAGATAAAAAGAAAACTATTAAGAAACATGGAAGCAAAAGCAAAAGGTATCAAGAGGCCGGTGCATCTTCAATTATCGGTGGCGCCATCATCATCATGGTGAGGTGGAGATATTGCCCAAATGCTCTTCAATTCGCTGCATGCGAATATCCATTGACCCCAACTAATATTCAATTGTATTCAATCGACTAAAAAGCTGCTACCAATTGGATTGAGGTGGTGGAGGTGGAGCAGCAATTGATGGTCCACTTTCATCTTGGCTATAACATGCCTTCTGTCGTCACGCCTGAGTAGGTGAAGGAATATGCTCTATAGCAATTCCCATGGCACGAAGTGAAAAAACGAATAGCTCTGTTGTGACGGCCCCACCTCCCCCTAGGGCGTACCCCAGGGTTCGGCGGGTCGCCTGCCCAACTCTCGTCAGGATTCACTCACTTATAGTTTAGGAAAAATAATGTACATCCACAGAAAATAAATAACACATCCACTTCAACTTAATATATACATTGATGTTCAAATCTAGATACAAAACTTCTACATACCAAAATACTTCAAAGTGTTTACAATTCGAGTACAATCAACCCTGGTCGGGTACTAGCATGAGTACAAATTCAAAATTCAAAACAATTAGATTACGCTAGTCTGTACACGTCTCACGCCTCGCTCGTAGCCTCTGTAAGGAAAACAAATGACGTGGAATGAGTTAAAAGCCCAGTGAGGTTCCAAATAGCAAGTTGACCATTTTTTTAAACGTGCAAGTATCACGTAGCAAAGTAATGAGCATGAAAAGTTCATAAAAGTGGACAATAACACTTCAAGTAGCAATTCTCAAAATGAGCGAGTGTAAAGTTTTCTTTTAAAACGAAACAATAACACGCTAAGTACTAATCATTCCAAAGTATAACGATATGGATGGCTCTTCGGAGCCAAATTCCCATAACATCACCAGAATTTGATCAAGTAATAGTTGACACTCCGTCAACTTTCAAGTAAGTAACCAATCCCGTAGAGCATCACTTAAACTACTCTCCATCCACCATCCAAACCCCCTATTGGGCCCAAAATCCTCAATAAACACTAGTGGTAATACTCGAGTATACCGATTAGTCGAGGAGATATCACTCTACTCAACAAAACAAAGACCCAGGGTTCGTTACCCAATCGACCAAGCCCTTGCCGGCTCAACTCGAGTAACTTGCCACAAGGTTTCTGGAATTCCAGGAAGTGCGCACCATATACACAAATATATCAAATCCATTGCAATAATAAACAAATATACCTCATATTAGGGCAAGTGTAATAAAGTACACTCCTGCCCAATCAAACAAATGACATATCATTAAATCACATTGGTCAAGTATTGAAAATAAG